AAATGCTAGATATTCAAAATCTACAGCCAGCTTCCACAGCTTGAAAGTCTTTCTCTGAAGTGATTGTGAAGTTAGGAATGAAAGGGATCCATGACAGCTTGGTCAAGAATGACCCATTTACCTGGCCAGTGTTATCTCATTTGAACCAATCAAGACTGGRCACTCTACAGGCTATGGTATAACCACATCTAGTCGGTGGAAAAGGCAAGGCAGCAAAGAATGCAGAGTTCCACATTCCTCTGTCTCCCAGGATCCAATTTCCTGCCTTGTCAAGGACCAGGAACCCTTAGGATGCCATCTCCTATCTTCAAGCCACATGTCAGACTTACCAGAGTTTTCTGATGTTAYATGTTCAAGAAAAACATCTAATAGGGAAGCTGGCTTTGTAGTTATCTTGCCTGTTCTTAAGGTCTCCAGCAAGAAATTCTCCAGTCTTTATTTTTTATTTTGTTATCTGTAAACTAAATTAATCTCTCATTCAAAAATAAATTCCATTTCCCACCCCATTTTCTTAAAGCAATATCTATGAGACAAATTTTACTTTCTCTTTGGAAATTTTTTCTTGCCTTACCCAAATGTGATAGGGAGAAAGGGGGAAATAATTCATGTTGCGATTTGTGCCATGGTCTGTCTATCAAAGTTCCTTGGGAACTCTTTAAACTAGTATAATCTTGCCTCCCTCCACTCAGGAATCACTAAAGGAGATTTACAAAAAGCAGAGGCATGAAAGCACATTCTTCCCTATGCCTACTTTTTTTCCTGTGCAAAGGTGGTTTTATGTGCTGATTTTGTTCCTACTGTGCAATGAATTCTTCCACACATTGGGATATTTTTGCTTTGTGGATCTTTTTGTGTTACCCAGCACTTCAACAATGCTATTGTTTCTCTAGTTGCTAGTAATTCAGCCTGATAAGGGGCAAACTCTGGACCTCTGGAATTGAATGGATCTCTTTGGATCCTGAAGTTGGGTGCTGTGTTGTCCTTGAGAGGAGCTTGTTAAATGTAAATGGCAATGTAAGCGGTGTATGGAATCTTTTATGGCACCTGAGCCTGTCTCTGAGMCAGAATAATGGGGATGCCTGAAGTTTCGGCCCTTTTATGTGGGAGCCTGAATTTGGGAATSTCCTCTAACCAAGGAGTTTGAAACCTCTTACTGGCTGGGTTACCCTTGTTTTTTCTCCTGGTTCCTGTTCAGCCCTTGCACTGGAGTATTTATGTGAAGAATACCAGAGTACTTCCATGATTTTTATCTGACTATTCAGACCAAATCTTTGGTGGGCATGAGATCAGCCCAGTCTCATCACACCTCATCCCAAATATGTATCCATAACAGGGATACACTCATTTCCTTCAATGCTGTTAAACATTATAAAGAACTAGAACTGGTTTTGATTGAGGTAAGAAGCACAGTTTGAAAGACCAAGATTTTTGAGGATTTTAAAAATTACTTGTGAATAACAGTGATTGGAACTAYGGATATAGCTGTAGGGATCAAGCAAGTAGGTGTTCATAAAATGTTCCTTTAAATGGATTTTGTTTCCACAGTACAATGGAATGACACATTAAACTTGGAGTGATTTATTTTAAGTAACAATCTTGAGGGAGAGATTGTTTTGTTTTATTTTTTCATGTAAGGAAGGGTTTGAATTGATTTCTCAGGAAAAATTTCAGCTCACATGGAAATGTTTTCTTAAGTTATGCTACACTAGAATTTTTTTCCTAATCATGGAAAGCTGTGTCAAAATTTTGTAAGAAAATTCCAGGGTATGAATATTTTTAAAATAGCTTTCGTAATACTGCCTGGTCACAGTTCCTTTACAAGTAGACAGAGTCCAAGGAGCTATTCCTGTTTCCAAAATAGTTTGCCTTCAACCACCCAGCCTGTATAATTTGATAGAATTAGCGACTGTATGTCAAAATCTTCGGGAGCTTTGTTCAAAATTGGCATAGTATAGCTAATTAAAATTTTCCTTCCCACCTTTTAGTTTTAAAGATTCAGCATCAAAAATATTTGGAAATCATTAACTTTAGTTTGCCCTTTAACTTGCTTTCTTTTGTCTTGAAAGCTCATTCCTTTTACTAAAGCATCTGAATGCCTAGRAGGACAACCGTGACCTTTAAAGTGAAGAAAGAGAGATTACTGYACTTAGCTTGTTGTGATTTTGGTTTTTGTTGTCTTTTTTTTTTAAAGGCCATTCAGAACATCAGTGTAGGTATTTTTTTTTCAAAGTAAATGTGCACTTAAACCACTTCAGATAATACCGAAATGTACTTCAAGGAAAATTACCTTCTCTACTATGTCCCTAGAATTTAGATTATTGCCCTGGAACAAATTACACAGTTACCTTCTCTGAAAACTTGTTTTTCRTTTTTAAATATACTCTTCTTTTAGATAAACAATCAAAGGTAGACATWTTAGCAATGTGTTTTCCTTTTGGTTTGTTTGTGATTTGTTTTTTCTTTCCTTACACAGACTTACTTCATGCACTCTTCCAACCCACATTTTGTTTGTCTTTGGCACGGAGAGACTCTTACATAATTTCTCGAAAATACAGCAGTGTTCAGCTATAGTAGTCCAAAAGGCTACAGCCTGCATTTTTGCAGAGGTTTGGGATGATTGCAGTAGAATGGTCTATTGTTTCTGACAGGGCCTGTTTTTGGAGGGTTCTTAAATGCCTGTTTCTCTGATCCTGACCTCTTATGAAGTTTCTAATAAACAGGACTTTACAAGGGAGTGGGTGACACAAATTTAACTTGTGCCACTTCTCAAACACAGCACTTCAGCTTCTTTGAGGAGAGGAGCTGAAAAAAAGAATGCTGTGTACATACCACAGCTGCCATCCTTCGTTAGTTTCTGTTTACATGGTCAGTAATTGGTATTGTGTATTTTTATGTAATTAGTTATTATTAACCTAAAATAAACTCACACAGTTAATTCCACAAGCATTCACACSAGTGTAAATGAGAAATGGTTCCTGTAGGCCAGTGCATCTGCTGCACTGTGTGTGAGGGGAGAATCCAGCCCACTGAAACAAGAGGCAAACATATTTTAGCGTACTGCTTTTGAATTAATGGATATTCAGCCTCACAGCTGAATTTCAGCTGAATTTACCTTTTTTAGGTAAAGTGCATGACAGCACTTTAGCTCCCAAATGGTTAATTTCCAGTGTTTGGAGTAGGTGTCTCTCTGGCTGCAAATGACTATGAGACAGGCCACTGAACATGCTGCAATATGATCCTGAAGCATTACTCTCCGTTTGTGACTTGTCCTTGTCCTCTCTCAGTCTCTTTTGGGTAGATATGTTTAATTGTATGTTTGCTTACATGTGTAGATACAAGGCTGTAGGAGTAGAGCTGATACATATCTTTGATTTTCCCTAGGAATGGGAGCTCACTTTTTCTGTTGGCTTAGAGCTATCGAGCATTGCCCATGTTGCACAGTGCTGTGGTTGGCAGTGTGAAAACGCTCAAGTTTGTATCAGGAGGTGTGTCTGGGGTTGTACTGGCACCAGCAATTTGGTTGCTGTGCAGAAATGAAGTGGGTCTCTTGTCATGGGTTATCCTGCCTGGATCAAATCCACCTCCTGCTCATTTCCTCTGACAGGGGCCTGGGCTGTAGGCACATGGAGAACAGTCAGGGTGTGAGCTGTGGTCATGTCTTGGAAGAAAAAAAAGCCACCTGCATGCCTGAATCTCCCTAAGGCAGAAAATATCCCCAAAGAGGCCAGAGGAGGTACTCATTGTGTAGTCCCCGTTGAACACCTTTGCTCCTGTGCCATTGCATGATGTCACTGCTGCATTTGGATTGTTCTCCCCTCTCCACCTAACTCATACGGTGGGACTGGAGAGAGGACACACAACCATCTCTTCTTCACCTGTCACTGCTGCTTGTGATCTGGCACTGATTACATTCCAGGCAGATTCAGAGCCTGCCTTTCAAAATGTGGCCATTACAAAAGTAGCAGATACTGACCAACACACTGCTCGTCCAAGCTCTGGTGCACAGAATCTACTCTGAAATGGCATTTGCTTCCCTACTGCACACGTAGTAATGCTTTAACAAGTAATAGATTACAGAATGAAGTTTCTGCTGTCTCCCCTTGGGAATCAACTAGGCAAACAATGATTAGGAAATCTTAGCTGATAATTGTTTAAATGTYTTGTTYCTTAATTTCATCTTTTTCCCTGGGCAATTTTGTATTAACCTAAATAGTTTATTTCATTCCTCAGTGCTTGTRTTTCCCAAGTATTTGTAAACCATTACCAAGTCTTCCTTTCCCACAGGCATTGCTTATCCTAACTGTTGACTGAAAATCAATCCCCCCATCTAATGACTCTGTCACTGTTCTTTGAACTCTTTCCATTTTACATTATCCATCTGGCAACAAAACATCCAAAACTGCACGCAGGCTGCAGATGTGGTAGCTCCACAGCTGCTGAGGCAGGGATCTGTTACAAACCATTGTATGTCAGGATAGCTGTTTCTGGGTCAGTACTCACGCAGTATAAAGTTATTTGTCTCTAGCTTCTCTGCCCAGGACACCTCAGGATAATGAGAGATTTGTAAGATAAATCCACTGAAGTTGTGTGGTTTTTCTTTATCCTATGCCCTGTTAATTCTTCTTTGCTTTTTCTAGATCTGTAATCATATTTCATGCTCTCGTTCTCTTCGGAAATAGAAGGCTTTCCAAGCCTGGATTCTGACTKCTCTCCCCAGTCTGCTGCTGGAGAGTAAAAGCCAGCAGGTTTCTAGGCCAGGCCAGCTAGGATATGTGACAAGGGATGCACTGCTCTGGTTCCCTGCCCTGCCTCTGCAGTGTCCTGGGTTCTGTGGGACTCAAAATTGAATTGTGATGCATGACTGTTGTACAATCTTCTCYAACTCATAGAAAAAAATATGACTAYACACACAGGAATTAAATTTCASCAAAAATATTTCAGTTTTTATTTGTGATATCACAAGTTCACAAAATGTTTTTTCCTTCTTTTCAATTTCACAGGTTATCACTGCTAGCTTATCGCCTTTCTTCTTTGTCATGACTGCCAATGTATTAACAATTTCTTGGTAAGTGCCTACATGAGCTTTTTGCTTTACAGTAAAGATGGATTTTCACACAGTGTTTCATGTGGAAATAYTTTTAAATGTCAAGTTTTATTGCTGCCAGTATTATTTTGCGTGTAAGGAGAACCAGGTGTGCAATGATGGATGCAGTACAGTAATAGARGAGTGTTCTTTCTGCCTCTGTGGGAGATGGTGGACATTTTGGACATTAACCTCACCACAATTCACTCAGCACATTTTACAGTGAGGCAAATGGATGCAATAGGCAAATAAATGACCCATTCAAAGTCATGCTACAATTTATTGGTGGAACTGGAAGTAAAACAAAGGAGTCAAGGTTGGCTGRCATCATCTTTTAAACCAAAAAGCATTTAAAAGCATTCAGGTTTCCCTAATACATTGGACACTGTGAATGAATAAAATTAAAACAAATGATAAGAAGCTTTTTCCAAAGCTGTGTTTGGATTTTGTAATGTGTGGCCACACATTATGAATCACCTATCCTGAATTTTTTAGGTAGTAATAGAARGGATTGGGGTGCAAACTCCTTTGGCCAAAGGCAATGTTTTTAAACTGTGTATAGCACCCAGTGAAAGGGAATCAGAGACCATGGCTGATGCTCCTAAATGTTTCTGCCATGCAAATAATATCTCAATATGGCTTTAGGCCTCTGTCTCTGAGGACAGATTTATTAATGGAAATAAAAACCTTMTTACTTTTGAAAAGCTTTAAGCTTCCTTTTTTCTCTTGATTCATGATTCATTCCGTTTGATTGCCATCCTAAAGATTCAGCTCTGCACTGAATGGAATTAGCATATCCTTTCTTCAGGTGTGATAAGAGCCTTAAGAAAGGAGAGTCTCAGTTCAGATTGCCCCATTTACCTATGTGATGTGAATATGCACCCCTGCATATGTATTTTAGGCACATGTGATCTCAAATGCTAAAGTAATTTGTGTATTTTTTTTAGCTCTAGGAATACATGTGGCCTGTGCATGTCAGACTTAACTAGTATCAGTGCATCTACAACACTCCATCTCTAGGCCATTAACTGGCTGCTCTTCACCATGTTTTACATGTGTTTGTGAAGGTCTGTCATGTGTGTGCTAGGGTAGGTTTTGATTATATGTCTGTATTCACTGACACGTGCACCAAAATTAATGTGTGTCTTTGTTACTATCAGCACACAGACCCACATGGACACATACCACTGCCCTGTGTGGACAAAACTTCTGTAAATTATAAACACAGCTGTATGTTTAAAACAAAATTTGCTTTAGCTTTTGGGCCACTGCTGCGCTGTTTGATTGTCGTAATTCAAAAAGAAAATATTTTTTTTATTTATTTTTTAATTTTAATTCTGTTRGTGCTTGTTCACTGGCAGTGCCTTGGCTTATCAGCAAAGCTCTGGAAATAGTTGTTTAGATGATAACAGCTGCAAAGCACTCATGAGAACATTAATCACTGAGGATTTTACTGTTGCTCCAGTGTAGTCATGGACAATATCATATGTTAATTTTTGAATGATGGGCAAATGCAGTTAGCTGTCACCCCACTATAAACAGAAGCTGGAGGATTTGCCAGATGGTAAATCGGAGGTAAAATCAAGGGTTGGCATTCAGCCATAGTTTTYGCTCTGCTTCATCTTGAAGGTATAACAGTGGTTTCCATTTCCCTAATAATTTGGACTGCATGGGCACATGGATGCCCAAGGTTTCAAATCCTTTGGAAAGGTATTTCTCTCTGATGTAGGACATACAATATTAAAGAACAGTTTAGGTGCAGACATCTTTTTACAGAACAAGGGTGGGCAGTTTACTATCTTTTGTAGATAACTGCCAGTCTAATTTTTGAAATGATATGTCTGAGATAGGTTTATTTTTTAAAGTCTCCGTTAAAAATCTACAAAACAACACACCTATAGAAACAGGAAAATAATTCTAATGCTCTGTTGATTTTAGGTCTTCCATATGTAGTGTTTTGGGTTTTTTTTTTCCTTTAGCATAAAGGATATATTATCCAACCTTAGCTTCCAAAGGAATTCATTATAAGGTRTGTTTATAACTGGTGCTGAAGTAAGACATGGGGGTTAACTCTCTCCAGAAAAAAAGCACTCAGAAGTTATTACCAATTGCAAGTAACCAGATTTAGTGGCTTAGACCTCTTTGAAAAGCTTCCAGCCCTTGCAGCCCTTTGCTCCTTGTTGGAAATTCCACTGCAAAGGTATTCTGTCTCCCCAGTGGATTGTCACAGACYGTTTGTAGCACCTACTTTCCGGGGCTGTTTACTGTGTAATTGTAAGATGGTGTGCTCTTGTTATACAATATTTTTTYCCTCTCGGGAACAAGGGCAATTATGTGGTTTTTAAAACAGCTCACCAAAGCTAAGATTTAAGTGAATGTAATGCTATTAGACCAAAGAGCCTTCAGCTTTACATGCTTTTTTTTTCCAAGAGAGAAAAAAAAAAAGAGTACTCTTAGAAATGAACTTAACAGAAGTTTGTTTTGTTTATAAAGTTCAGTAAGGAGCTTTTCTGTTTCATAAGCTAATTAAGCCATGAGGCTAAGATGAAAGGTCAGTACACTTAGCTTTGCACTGTTATAAAAGGGGAGAAGAGTCGGCATYTTACCATATTCCTGTCAGCTGTGATAGATAACAGAGGACACTTGGGGATTATTAACTATTGCATGGATTGAGTGGGTCGATAGCGTATTTCAGTGAAGGTCTTGGTAAAACCATTCAYCCTGACTTGGAGCCCTGCTCCTAGGCTGAGTCTTGGGGAGCAGCTTTAGTGCCACTGCTGTGCTGTGAGCACAGGAAGGAAGTGCTTGGGCATGTGTCCTTTTTGGCTGGGGCAGCTCCTTGCACCAGGCTCTTCACCAGGGGAGGCAAACATGAATTTCTACTGGCCTCACTATGCCAATGGGATCTCCCCAGGACAAAAGGGTTTTCCTAGATTTCCTTTGTCCCCAAAACCTAGGCTTTACATCTCCTSCTGATGTTGTCAAGTTGCAAGTTTTCAGGACAGGAATTGCAAGAGGGAATCATTAAGCTAATGAGGTTCAAACTCTCTTGTCTTCCTTTCCTATTCTTGCTAGTGTAGGGGTGTGCAGCTATTCTTGTAACTAGGAGCAACCTTGTCTATTTAGATTCTTGTTTGTGCATTTTCACTGAATAACATCAGCCCTAAAACACAGGAAAGGTAGTTTCTGATGAGATCATCTAAATAAGACATTTTGGGTTTCGGCATTTTCTTAGACAAATGAAAAAATCAGTAGAGTTATTGTCCCTAGGTTGAAATGTATTTAGATAAAATAATTTTTTGTATCAAGTAGAGGGACTTGCATGATGCTAAATTTGTGATGTATTTTGTTTACAGCCTTGTGATCGGTGGAGTTGGAGAAGCATTGGTTGTTTACACTGAAAGGACAGGCACATAAAGAGGAACCAGATCTCACCAGCTGGAAAAGAGCTGACTTGCAGCCTAGAGACACTATTGTGAAAAAAACGCAGCAGCAGGAATGAAGAAGTGCAACCAAACATGAGGAAAGGGACCTATTTTTTTTTTTTTTTAATTAAGAAAACCCTCTGCTATTAATAGTGCTGGTAAGGRAGCAGCATAGTTGGCAAAGATGGTAAAGAGCCTTTGCCTCAAAGCACAAGACAAATTATACCAGGTTGACGTGGTAAAGGAATAACTGCACTGTCTCATGCTGATGGCTCTGTGTGAGAGCCACTCAGCAGCTTCTTGCACAGAGAACTAAACTCAGGAAAAGCAGCATTCCCCACTGGATGCCTCTGGTGGTTTTGGTTTTTTTTTTTGTTTGAAGCAGACAGCAGGTCATACCAAACAATGTCCTGCCATAAATTCGGGATCTGGAAGGATGGATTTTGTCTCCAACGGTTCTGTAAGCAGCAAGCTGCCACACACAGGTCTCCAGTCATGTCATCTGARCTGGCACAGGGACTGAGGCCAAGGGGCTTGTGGAGATAATCCCCTTCTGGAACTGTGGCAGTTTGACAGCTTTGCAGAAAGGGAAAATCAGCAATAAATCTCAATATCAGTAGTGATTACTCTTTGTGAWTTTTTTTTCTTTCACATTCTCCAAACTCTGCACATTTTTGTCAGCTGGAGGGGGGTGGAGGGACACATATTGTTCCCAGCAGTGGTTTGTCTCTTGAATTATTGCAAGAGGAAACAAAGAACATGAACCTTGAAAGAATGTCATAAAAAGTGTAAGAAAATTAGTCTCGAGAGTTCTTAAAATAATTTCACTTCTGGTTGCTTAATGGCTTCTAGAAATTAGTCTTGCAATCTCTGTGAAAACAATATTAAAKGATGAGTTTATAAGATTGTGGGAAATGTCTACATGGTAAAAGGAGCTCAATACAACTCTTCAGTGAGGAGAGGGACTTGGCTCCCATGATATGTACAGTGTAGTCCCTTAATCTTMATTTAAATTGTCCAAGTTTCCTTCATAGCCAGTGGAAAGAGGGTTGCCCTCACAGAGATGATCCTTCTTGAATAGACTGTTGTATTAGGAAGTGCATAACTCTGTGTAGACAGAAACTGGTGATTAGTCTAGACAAAATACACATGGTTTCTACAAGGCTGCAGTTACCAGAGGCATATTTGTTTCAATCTAACAGATTTCACTACATGGGCTTGAAAATATGGCTACATTTGAATTTCAAATAAAACACCATCGATTAACAAAGAAGGTAAATTTTACAAATATTTGCAGTCAATATTTATGACTGGGGAATTTTAGATAAAGATCAGTTGGTTTTCAGAAAAAAAAATAAATGCTGTAGTTTAAAAGAGAAGTACTCTGATCTATATTGTACCAAAGCTTATTCCAATTACTTGCAAAAGGTCTCTTTATATGGCCATGTTGTCCGTGTGTGTTGGGTCCCACTCTGGCTTGAGYTGTGAGCCATTTTTTTGCCAGATGGTAGAACTCAGGTTTGGGAAGAGAGGGGGAGAGAGGGACAAGCATGAAAAAATAAATGCTTGAACTTCAGCATTAGTCCTGAAACCAGCATGAGCCACATGGGAAGTTGAGCCATGACACAGCCAGCCATGGATCCTCATGGCATTCCARTCTGTAAATTCAGACAGTGCTGAGAGGGATGGCTGCAGCATTCTGGCTTTCCCCAGACAACTCTCTCTTGCCAGCCAGTTGTGGCAATACAGTGGGATCCTTGCCGTGCCACTGCTGACTTTGAAGTGAATAGTGACCCTAGGAGACCTCATGGAAGAGTCCCTGCGTGATTGCCGAGGTTTTGCAATCATAGCTGGAACCTTTGCTGTGGGAAAAGCTCATCGTGTACCTCTCTTCTTACACAACTTTCAAGGGTAGGCTGCAGTCTGTTTTTTTTTTTTCTTCCTCTATTTTGCCTGTGCTGTTCATAGCAATGCACCAAACCAGAACACCCATTTGCTTTCTTGGTGGTGGTCTCAGTGGAAGAACAGAGGCCAAACCAGCAGCCTCTGGTCAGAGGGCATCTTGGCATGGCTGCAGGAAGTTTGTTTGGCTGCAACAGGCATGCATGCTGTCTGGGCTCTGGGGGAATTCAGTTTCTGCAGACACTGCATTAGTATCTCCCTGCCCAGTAAGGCAAACGCCTTTATATTTAACTTCTGTGTGTTAAACAACATGAGCTGTTTTGCCTCTGCTTGCATTTTTTGGTGCCTTAGTGCACCTTAGTGCTTGCATTTCTGAGACTCTGCTTGAGGTAAGTAAAATAGTGGAGGTTTAAATTGATTGCTACAAARGAAAATCAAAGAACCAGAGTTGAGAGTGGAGTTGGGCTCCTCTGTCAAACACAACTGGGAAGAAGTACCCTCTGAACCAACCCCMCCTACTTCAGGTGAGTGTGACCCCTGCAGACCTCCATGAGGTTCATCAGTCTTGCTGAAAACTCACAGTAGGGTAGGAATAGAGCTCAGTGGCCTTCAAAATCCATCTTTGCACATTTGGAGTTGTCTCAAGGTGCAAGGTTTCCTTCTTGCTCAGGCTGTGTCGGAGGGGACAGCAGAGCCAGACTCCAGTGTGGCATCTGCCTTTGAAGGAATCTTGTGAGCCAAGGGCTGGCACAGCTCTGGTGACAGTGAGCAGGTGACAGTGAGCTGTCGAATGGTCAGCCCTGTGGCTGGGGAAAGGTGGCAGGGAGAGAACCCCTGGAGAACTTCTGGGTTGGAGCAAGTGGTGCTTCAGGGTTGGTAAAGTGATCTTCAAAGCAGGAAACCTCCAAAGTTCAAGCTTAAAATGGCTCTTGCAAGACTAGTGAACAGTTGTGTTAAGTAATTTAGAGCAGGAATATGCAACAGTAGACCTTTCATATCAAACTGACCTTTTTTCCAGTCAGTCAAAAATACAAAGTGCCGAACACACAGCTCTGAGGAAGGAGGAGCTCCTTCATGTTGCAGGGAAGCGACGGCACCAATTAATGCCTGAATGCAAAGCGGTGGGCCTGTAGCTCAGCTGATACAAAAACCTCCAGATTTATTGGTATCCATCATTTAAAGAATTTACTGTTCTGGGGTTGCCAACACATGAGACTAAATTTTCTCTAGAGAGAAAAATTGGAGTGTGCTCGTCTTTCTGAGATGCAGCAGGTAACAGAGGCTGTCCCATCATACCCYTTCCACATCTGCTAAGTTTGATCAAACCACTCGACAGAAATGGYCCTGAATCATGTAGTACCTTTTTTATCCCACCTTGCTTACACTTACTTTCCAAATGTCCTTTTTATTTTTTCTTACAAAGTAATTGGGACAAGGCTTGTATTATCTACTGCAGTGGCATGACTCATGCATGTGGCTGGCCTTCATCATAAAGAAGTTCTGCTTAAAGCCAAATACCATCAAAAGAAGACTTGGAAGCTGCTGGATGTGGACTACAAGTGGATTAYAAAAATGCAGGCAACGGGGATTCTGTTTTGAAACAATCTTCTGGATCTGGCAGCTGTAATATAGCTTCCAGCAGAAAATGTTATTAAATGAATTAAATGAACCTGATGCTTAACACTGAACTGATTCTGTTGTTGCTTGTTGCTGCRTTGTGTTGGCAGAGAATCTACACCAGTCTTTCAAAACTGAAACTGAAAATCTGCAAAGCAAGTGATCTTAGCAAAAAGCAATAGGATTTAGATAGCATTTAAATTTAAATAGAATTTAATTTTTTTTTAAATAAGCATTGGACCCATAAAAACATTTTAAAAACATTTTGTAAGGCACAGAATTCTGATTTCCATTACTCTTTTTGACACCTATGTCTAAGGCTGGTGGATGAGTTTATGTGTATCTGTATATATATATATATATATATATATATATATATGTTCCTGTTTCTCATCCTCAAACTAGAATATCTGAAGAATTCAAGAAATGTGATGTCAACACAGTACATGCTTTGAAAAGGATGCTCTATCAAATCTTGTAGGAAAGTTAGCTGCTGGGAGGTGTACTGAGTGCTGAGGAAAGGTTTCCTCCAGCACTGTTTTACCTGTAAGCCAAAGGAGATGGGGGGTTGGAGAAAACTCCATAGCAAATTTGCCTTGCCCAGAGCTGAATGAACAGCTTTCAAACAGATCATCTGCTGCTGTGAATCAGGCAACAGGCTCAGTGTGAGATTTTAATCCTGTTCCAGAGGATAGACACAGGGACAGGCTCATTTGGTTTGAAAAGGAGGCGTGGGTGAGGGGAAGGAGATTGGGGGCAGAAYTGAAAAAAATTGAGGCTGAAATACTTTTGTACAAAGAGATAAAATGGGATGAGATTTGCTTCTAAAAATGTGTTTCTTATTCATAGGTTTGGGAGGGGGGCAGGGTTTCAGGCTTTTCTTTGTGGGTTTGTTGTTTTGCTTTTTTTTTTTTTTTAATTAGAGTGTATTACAAATACATGTCTGTTTAGTCCCAAAAAGGAATTAGAGGAGCCTACGAAGGTTGTGTAACTGTTTCCATATTATTTGGATGCTTTGAGAAGCTTAACCCTTTTTTTTAACTAAAGTGTCATTGGGCAAGCCTTGATTTCTTCAAGAAAATGAACTGCTTTTTCTAATAATGCTGCTAAAAAAGTTGTGCTCACTTCTTGATCACCGAGATGGGGAGTGTACCTTGTCTTTAATATCTGTGATGGGAAGGAGTCACACTACTCTTCTACCTTTTAATAATTGTCTTGGCTTCCAAAATAGGTGACTTAATGGCATGCTGAGTTCTTGATTTGATGGTATACAAAACCTCTTTGAAAACCACACTGGGAGCATGCTTAGTATATTTTGTCTTTTGTTCTGTGGTTAAGATTTGAAAGCACTCAGCCCAGAACTTGTTCAGCTGTGAACTTGCTGCCCATGTGGAGAAAGCTGTACATAAATATCGTGAAATGGGTGTCTCTGTGCTCCTGCCAGGCAAGGGCTGAAATCCCACAGCTGCACTCACAGGCAGGACTGTGGGAGACCCTGCAACTGCTCGAGCTTTTCTGTTCCCTATTTGCCATCAGCAGCCCTGCACATTCTGTGACTCCTGACAAACATCAGTTTGAGAGGGAGGGAAATTTGCACGTTTGTAGGTGAAGCTGGTGAAGAAATGGTTGCTCTACCCTAAGATTCATGTTGGTTCAAGTACCTGAGGGCCAGTACAGCTTGGGAATCAAAGGCAAGACCCATTTTCCTGTAGGAGTTTGATCCCTGTTTACTCCTAAACTTCTGATTTCTGTACCACTACCGATGGGGAAAGCTGGTGCACCAACAGGTTTGTTTATGCTGGAGTTGCAGGCAACCAGTGCCTTGTGATCCCRTGTAAGAACAGCACCTGCCTGGAGCAAGCTGGCTGAATAAAACAACCAGCACAACCCCTTTGGAGCTGATAAGGAGAAGGGTTGGTGCTGTTTGTAGGAAATGGTTATTCAGGTTGAGAAACTGGTCATTAGGCAACAAAGATGGAAAGCAAAGGTGGAAAGCTGGGAATGCTGCTTGCCATGCATAAGCACAGAAGGAGTATCGCTGACACCAGTCAGACTAACAAGGGGGTTGGAGTTTCTGCTGAGAGGACTGTGGTTCAGGCA